TTTTGTACTCAATTTATTTTCAGAAATTATTGTTATAGATCACCCAGTTAAACATTGGGTTGCATTTGTTCTTAAGTTTGGTGAATGGGGTCAGTTGTGAGCCGGGCTTATGAGGCCCTGGTGGGATACATCTTGGGTGCTCGGCGAAATGTACTTGCGGTGGAGTGGTCAGATCATGCCTCTTCCGAGGCAGTGAACCCCGTGGATGGCACAGACGCAGAGCACAGACTCCTTGACCCCGCAAAGGTCTCCTCGCGCCTTCGGCTGGGTCGTGAGTTTGTGCCAGTCGAAGGGCTAGATCCATCTCCTCCCACGCACTCTTTCCGCATCATGCAGTGGAACGTCCTCGCCCAAGGTGGGTCACTTGGCATTACTGTCCTGTATGTAGTCACTGTGGTGCCAATTGCCACCCGAACACAGGTGTAAATCCAGGCTTAACTTGAGGCATATAAAAATAATGTGAAATGTGCATTGGTAACATTGTCAGTTGATATAAGCTATCAATTTGTTTCTTAACATTACATTTTTTAACGAGTCCCATAATGTCTGTAAATAATATACGTGCATACTGTTCATTAGACAGACCCATAAAATGTCAACCTTAGTGAATTTGCTAAACAGTACCATGTTGCCATCACTGCAACTTTCAGTTGCATCGTGTGCTTTTCTTGCCTTGGAATGGATTCCAAAATATTCTCATGTTTCTTTCTGCTCGTGTATCAGCCCTTGGTGAGGGCAAAGACAACTTTGTGTGCTGTCGGCCTGCTGACCTGACATGGGCCGCCCGGTGGCCACTTATCCTGGATGAAATCGTTTCTTATCAGCCTGACCTTATCTGCTTGCAGGTGGGTGCGACTGCAGGTCACCAGTTGCTTTCATTAAAAGTCAATTTCCATGTAGGGCTTTCTTTTCTTTTATAGCACTTTGTTTGATGTTTCTTTCAACTTAAAGGTTACAGTGCGCTGTATCTCAAGTATACACGTTGAAAAACAGCACGTTTTTTTTCCATATACCAGAAATGTGATTACGATCTGTTTTAATGTCATTTCCAGAAGTGGGCCTTGCTTTACGTGCAAAAAACGTAATAGTAAAATGTCGCAAAAGCGTTAAATTGTTGCACGTCACACGTCCTGCATGTAAAACACAGAGAATGCAGTTTAAAGGTTGTGTTTGAACACGAGTGTGACCCGGCATAGCAGCGTAACGGTATACAGATATGCTCAGCATTCATTGTCCTCGGCCATCTGGCTGCGTCATGCTTCCGTGCGCTGTCTTTGCCTGCAGGAAGTGGACCGGTATCACGATGCTTTCAGCCCTGCGCTGAATCAGCTTGGGTACGGAGGCGCGTTTGTGCCCAAGCGCCATTCTCCATGCCTGGACGTCCAGCCCAACTATGGCCCCGATGGCTGTGCAATTTTCTATCGCAAGGAGCGATTTGAGCTCCTGGGTGGATACGCAATCGGTCTGCGTGCTGAGCCCATCCCCTACCCAACCCACCAGGTAGTGAGAGCTCGGAATCATCACAGCATAACCTTGCCATAAGCCATTTTTTATTGACAATACCACAATAAACATTTAGCTGTTTTAATATAATTCCACGCTTAAGAATGTTCTTGACGTTGACTTTCTACGAGCATCGAGCATTTTTGAGAAGGCAAATAAATAATAGTTTGGGTATAGACAATTACACGGCTGTGGTTTGTATGCCAAATTGATGTTGAATATATACAACATTGTACGTGCATTATTTCACACTTTGAAAATTCATCTATATCCTAATTTCCTAAACTTAATTGTATTGGTTGCAAATTTGGGCAGTGCGCCATGCAATCGTCCATTCAGATAAAAACAGCGAATAGTTGACTGATCATACGCTTACACAGTATAGTCCTTGCTGTGTCGCCGGTGAATTTTTTCGTAAACATATCCCTGCAGGTTTTGTTGGTGTTGAAGCTCTGTTACGTCGACACGGGGCATAGCCTGACAGTGGCGTGTACCCACCTGAAGGCACGGCAGGGCTGGGAGCGTCTGCGTGCCGCGCAGGCGAAACACTTGCTCACCTGCTTGAACAGCGACCAAGAAGCTCGGGAAGGTCCCCTCGTCGTGTGTGGGGATTTTAATGCCAAGCCTGCAGAGACTGTTCACCAGCTATTTGCTGCTTCAGCCCTGGGCCTCAGCAGTGCTTACAGGTGAAGCAGTCCTGTGCAAATGTGGCAGCGATTTGCTTTGCATATTTCATCACCCTTTCATGAAAAGCCTTTGTCATTTCTGTTCAAATGTTTACTTACCACGTAATCATATTTCCATTGTATTCTTGGTTCTTTCGATGATGATTGCTTGTGTTGCAGTCGAAACGTCATGAGAATTTTATTGTTTTTATATTTTTATTATTTTATTGTTTCCCTTCTACGTGGTGACTTTACCGAAAGAACCAAGCATATAAATCCCTGCAGTCACGAAAGCTTTAAATCATATTTCCATTGTTATTCATTTGTTTTGAGCAAAAGGAATAATACAGGTAAATTGACAGTCATTGCATTCTTTTCATACATTGTAAAAAAAAAAATGTCCGTACAAAACAGTTGTTGACACTACTCTTATACAATGTCTTGTTTTATATAGATCGATCTTATGCTCAAAGTTTAAATCATATCTCCTTCAGAAATACACAGGCCCATTCAGAAGTATATGGGTCATGTATTCTGAAATACATGCGTGCTTGTAGCCTCAATGCTATTTTTGTTTTGTTTGTTTTCAACGGCAGGAAGTTGAGCGAGGACGGACAGACGGAACCACCTTTCACTACATGGACAGTACGTGCCGGTGGGGAGACTCAAGCCACCTTGGATTATATATGGTACTCCCAGAATGCTCTGCGTGTGGAGCAGCTGCTGAATCTTCCATCTGAGCGGGACATTGGCTCTGGGCGGCTGCCTTCGTCCACATACCCGTCCGACCACCTCTCCTTGGTGTGCGACTTCAGCTTCGTCGGAGATACGCATGCTACGTGACTTCCTTCCATCATGGGCCACAGACAGACTGGTTTTACCATGCTCTGACAAGGGAACTATTTCCTGAAGGGGTCTATTGCTTGTGCCTGTTCATTTTTTGGCCATGCTGAGGATTTGCCATTGATGTCAAAAAGGAAGCTGTTGAATGATAAAATCCCAGGAGTTTTTTTTGGGTCGTTGCGTACAAAATAGACCATGAAATCATATGCAATAGGTCACCAATTTCATGAAGGAAATAATGGTACTTATATTGACTTGTTTGCAGAAGATCAGGTGTTTGGGTCTTTGCTTAAGTGCATTGCAACTGCTAATACAATTGGCTGGTAGATTACTTGATGGAATTTATTTACTTTCATATGCCAGGTACTACATACTTCATAGTGACAATGACGTAATTAATGAATTGAATTGCGTAATAACTTCTCATGAAACTGCTGTACGGCTATTTCGATAGACCAACAACATTAATCAATAACCTTCAGGGGAGGAGCCAGGATTTTTACTTTGGGGGGGCTGACTTCAATATTCTGAGATATCCAGTGCATGTTTTCCAACGGGCGCCACAAATGTATAAAACACATTTTATTGGATTTGAACGCGGAGTTTATTAATAGGTCGGAGCCGCTGATGTGGCTAATAAGTTCGATAAGTTCGAAAGGCTGCCGCTCAAGCAGCCTGCAGGGCAGCACAAGGTGGCAGCCTGCAGGGCAGCACAAGGTGGCAGCCTGCAGGGCAGCACACAAGGTGGCAGCCTGCAGGGCAGCACACAAGATGGCAGCCTGCAGGGCAGCACAAGGTGGCAGCCTGCAGCATTTTGCAGTAGCCGGATATCCGGTTATCCCAATTACCGACTCCCAAAATTTCAGGGGGGGCTGAGCCCCCCGAGCCCCCCCTGTGGCTCCTCCCCTGATAACCTTGCCTTTAAAGGGAAAAAATATGTATTCGGTGACACATCAGGCAATGTGTTATTGATGAATGTGTTGAGTGTTTATTATTTGTGCACCACAGCCGGATGCAGTGTCACAGTTTATATTTTGCGTGACCTTTTACAACCAATCAAACGATTTAAAAGCAAGTCCTGGAGCTACACTTTGCCCTTGTGTGCTTCTATTAACACGAAATATCTTGATTTTATAAGAGTATAGTACTTGAACAATAGAAATGTAATTTTTGTCAAATGCTGCTGCCATTTTATTGAAAATAATGCTTCATCTCAATGCAAAGATATTTTTTTTTTCTGAATGAAATGCTGTTGCACTATACTCTTTGTTTTTTTTTTTCGGTAATGTCACGTCAATGTGTGGACATTAAATTAAAATTGTTTACCTTGGTTATCCTGCATATTTAATTTAGTGTACACATTTGCAATACTGAGAGCAGAATGAAAAGTTTGATGTACATAGGCCATTTTGTCAGTCCGCTAACTGAATGAGCGCCTCCCCACGCCATGGAGGTTGTGAGCATTGTTTAACCATACTTCACCGCGCTATTCAGTGCCGGTTCGTGAAGGCAGGGAGCACGAGTACAGTACAGCAATAGACTTTGTCGCATTTTCCTTTGCTGGCTATCAGTTAGCCCCTCCTCCGCCTTATGACAATTTGTTTGAGCAAAGCCACTTATCCAAGCACTATCCAGGTTCCAATCTGCTTGGCTTTTGAGGTCTGCATAGGCGGGGCACATTCTAAGTTATTTGGCCACAAAACATCGTCTATAGTTCTACAAAAGATTACGTTGACTGATTACATTTTATAGATAAATTAATGAAGGCTTGCACATTTTAATAACCCTGGCTAATCCACGAACATGTCAAACTGATTGACACTCCCACTTAATTGCTCTTTTTTTAGAACGAATGACTAAAAGCCCTTTGGCATTCGGGGAAAAATCAAAACACCCAGCCTCAGCAGTTCAGAGACACAAGAATGCACGTTGGAATGAGTGCTCACCGTGATAGACTTGAAGTGTGCCATTTTTCAGCTCTTTCAGCTGTTTTTAGTGAGAGAAGTAACGTGGAACTCGATACAGATTTAGGCCTTCACAGTAACATGGTTAAGAAGTTGCGTGGATGACAGCTGCCACCTGCAGTCAGAAATGTAGAAGTGATTGGTTAAGGATTATTAGTGTATTACTGGGGAGCAATGGATTCAACGTAACCGTCTCGCCCCTTGTCAGTACCGAAGGGCCCCCCCCCCCAAGGGAAGCTAATGACCCCACCAGCGTTTCCTAATTATGTGAGCTGCCACTCGACGAATCCCGCTCTCACACGCACACTAAATAAAGTGAAAAGCTTGAAACAAGATGCAGGCCCACTCATCCAGGACAAAGACACACTTTAAAAGGCGCCTCCAGGTCTGTTCCATTGACACAGACTCATGGGAAAGATGTAAAGCAAGACGGGGAGTCATGGCAGCACATCTGCCGCAATGACTTGAACGCTTAAATAAACTCCTCAGTGTATCGCAAGGGAAGATGCATCAGCGCAAAGGCTGTACAACCCTCAACTGGTTGACTTTGCTTGTGGTATCTGGACATTCCTACACGTCCAGGGTTTATTGGACTGTTCTCCGACGCACGTACCCATCGCTGACTGACCCGTTCGATTCTTTTGTTGACCTTATACGGCACACTGACACGAGACCCCTCAATACAAGTGTATTATTAATCATCACAGCACGGTTGAGTTGGCCAGGGGTTCCAGAGCCCCCAGGGGTTCCAGGGCTGGAACCCCTGGGGCCTCTGGGTTCGGATCCAGGCAGCTGTTCTATTGAACCGGATCCTCAAGCGTGCGAGTTGGTCTCGCTCCGGTCACCAAATTGTGGTCGAATCAAATATGCTCCTGCACTTACAAATTCCAGCTGAGAGATCAAATATTAGTCTTACCGTCACGACAAACCTCACGTAGTACTGCCCTCCACTGTGTGTGGATCATAGGTCCCTTGAAATGATCTCCGTTTATATCCACTTCTGTGGGTCGTTCACAATACGATAGCTTGCACTGATCTGCACGAGATCTTGAAAGGATTCTTCGTCTCGTAACGTGACACAGGATAGCAAAATAGGAATATAATTTGGGGGTAAATTACAAAAAAATTGAAAAGCATCTGCAAATCTTGACTTAAAGCTTTCGTGACTGCAGGAATTCAAATTATTGAGTCTTTCGGTAAGTCACGTAGATAATAGGTTCAAAGAAAATAACAAAAAAACTACGACTTTTCAATCGCAACATAAGCAATCAAGATAACAAAAATTGCTCTTTTTTGGACTGTTCTCTTTTTTCTCCTGATGACGATTGCTTGTGTTGCGATCGAAACGTCGTAGTTTTTTATTGTTTTTGTTATTTTCTTTGAACCTATCTACGTGACTTTACCGAAAGACCCAAGAGTATAGCATCTGCAAAGTTTAGGCGTTTCTTGTCTGAAAGTACAAGCTTTATGTAACTTTTTTGTGGCTGCATGTCAGTGTGACTAAGATCATACATCTCACGGGTGAATGTTGATGCGGCTTTGGTGTGTCGATAAAATCGTTAACATTGCGTGCAGTGCAATGTGGAATGATTCGCCCGTTCCATAGGACTTTGGATTTACACCATTGATTTAAAATTTGAGTTGAACGCCAGCCCATGTGCATTTGAGCATGAAACCATTGTCAGAGGGACCCATGCATGAATTCCCTTTACCACAAAATACTGAGATAATTTTACCAACTTTTTAAGTCCCCAAATACAATTTGCTTGAAACAATTACGGGTTTAAATTAACAAAACAGCATCCCCTGCTGGTTGAAATCACAATTGCTCATTTTCCCATTTTAAACATTTAAAGTAGTGGCCATCCCTTCACGGCTGTAGCTAGATGTAGTTTGCAATAGTAAGCTCAAGTGTTAAATGATTATTTATTTTTATTACCAATTTTTGCGGCCCATAATGGGTAGGATATTTACTGTAATGAATAATAAAAGCTGAGTTGGAAATGTTTGAATTTTAAACCCATGAAAACAGGAAAATTCAGGCAGGCGAAAAACATACTTAACACACACACAGCTGTGCTCAAATCGCAGGTAGGCCCGAGTCCCATCATGCCTTGCATGCAGGTCATGTTGACCGTATTGCATGTAAAATTCCCTCAGCCTTGTCTAGATCACCAACTCAAAGGTGCTGAAAGTGGTGATAACTCAAAGTGGTGATAACTCAAAAGAGTTGAGTGTTAGTTTACGCCAATCATTCAACAAAAAGCAAAGTGCAGTCTTTAGCATTTATTACAACTAAATTTCCGAAATAATTCAGTCCATTCTTGTTTAACAAGAAGCATTTAAAAATGCTACTGCAAATGAAACGTACATTACTTAAAAAATATTTACTAACAAATGAAGTAAAATCGCATTACTCTAATACACCATCGGTTTTGTCTTGTGTGTATTATAAGTGTGTAGTTTAAAATAACATTCGCTTATTCCCACTTTGCAGTCGTTTAAAAATAAAAATGCGAAAATCATTTTGGCATGCAGTATCTTAGTAAAAAAACACTCGTAAAAATTGACAAGCTTAACAAATAGTTGATATGTATGGAAAGGTATTCCATTGCTTAAAATTAAGCTTGAACAAGAACCTGTTACACAAAAGCTAACATTAAAACATAACATTAAACGTTACATATATGATGTATATGTAGAGCGAATACAGTACATTATACAATGACATGTTTCTCTTATTGTAAACATAACGTGAAAACGGTAAGTGCTTGGACACCAACCTTACAATACTTTAACACACAACTTCATAGTGCCCATAAATATCATGCTGTAACACTGTTTTAGATATACAAAAAAATACCGTGAAAATGGAAAATATCGTCAATTATATTTCCGTTAAAATATACCACGTTAAAACATTTCAATGTAAATGCATATGGGGGGGGGGGGGTCCTTTAAAAAGCACATAGAGTTTGGACAGTCGTACTAAACGGCATGTTGTCATCTTGCATTTGTAACACAGCGCCAGTTATGTAAATCAGTTCATTCGCTGCAGAAACTGCAACTGTGGTCAAGTCTTCAGGCTCATTTTCTATCCATTTCACGAACTTTGAAAGCCATCGAGTCTCGCTTCATTTGAATGCTCGGATCAAGTGATCTTCATTTGCATGGTATAAAAGCCACTCAAATTCATTATCTAGCCAGCGCAGAGGTGAATTCGATGTCAAATGCTTTGCGCCAAGAAAATCAGTTCTCTTTGGATGGAACATATAAACCCACAGGTTAACATGTGCCAACATTTAAACTAAGCATTTTCAAAGCAGAAGTGCCATGTGCCTTGCACATTGTTGAATCTTGTTGCTTGTCCATAACCATTATTCAAAAGTCATCAAGTTGTCTGGTGGCTGAAAAAGAAGAAGCAATATTTGATTTTTTTTTAAATCTCCAATCATCAAATATATATTTTGTATTAAATTATACATTTTGACTATTTAATTTAAGCCGAAATGAAACTAATGTATATATGTGGAAAGTAACTCACCTGGGCTATGTTGCTTTTACAGGCTTTATCTAAATGTTTGACCCAAAGGCTGGCATTGACATCTGACACAGCTTGAAACTTGTACACATTGCCTGCAATTATAACAACACACATGCTTAAATGTCTCCAAAGACACTGCATTTTTCATTTTCCTGTATCCCTTTCATCGGTGGAAAACATAAAAAAATTATTACCAAACAATTGCCAATGCCCATAAATATAATTGCTGGACAAACTCACTTCACATGTTTACATATGGTGCATGAAACAATGAAGCTCATCGATAAATTTGGTACGCTAAAAGGCTCCGAAAATCTGCTCGAAGTAATATTACCAACTTTACTCGAAACATCCTCGAACAATGACTCCACTTTGTAACTCCAAACTTAGCTCTGGCAGATTGGGAACATCGTGGAATGTTGCGCAATGCCGCACCCGTGTTAACACGGCGGGCATCCACATGAGTCGCTAAACAAAAATCCCAGTTTTTTTATTCGTCGTGTTTGATCTAATTGCGCCGATGATGCATACTGGGGATTAAACGCACCTCTTTCGGGGTCTGTGAGTTGAAACACAGTTGAATGATCAGGATCAGCAGCTCTAACCACCATCCAGCCAGCAATGTGGACCTTCTTAGATGGACGCGACTTAAACTATGTGGGGAAACAAAGGAACATAGGCAACACGTTTGCATGCTTTTTTTTCAATTGGAGCAAAACTTCTGGTGAATATTTAAGGGGTGCTTTAAGCTCCAGCTTTTCAAACTGCAGCTTTTCAAGATCAAGCCTGGTTAACTTCCACGATCTGACGGAGAGTACATGATTTAGTCATGGACACGAATGGAGCTCAAGAATCAGAGCTTGGAAAGTGGCGTCGTGTATAATATGCACGTAGCAACCAATATCGTGGCACCTTTTGCCCGTATCAAAGTATGAAAACTAAGTATAGGTGTTACCCTTTCTGGCAATAAAACAGGTGTTAAGATTTTCAAACGTCAAACACATACCTTTTGCAAAGAATCAAGTCTGCATTAACCACACATACTTGTGGTGAGCATGCCAACAAACTCTAACAACCCATCTCTGAACTCACATGCTTTCTGTCCGCAACCTTCATGGACTTTGCCGAATAAAAGTATAGATCTGCTCCGCACAAAGAGATCCAGTATCTTGTCCATGGAGACATCTGTTATGACAAAAAATAGCAAGAGCAATGCAAAACAATACAAACGTTAACGTAACATGTGAACGCTTGTAAAATAATGTTGCACTAACAAATTATTAAATGAAAACCTTCAAAATTACGGTGGTTCATCTGTGAATTGGCCACATGGAATTTGGCAATAATGGATATGATAGACTGCCTTTTATTGTCATGGGAATGACTCACAATTGCACAAAAATGCAATGCAACAATTACCCAACTACATATTTGAGTAACGATCTAGACACACACACACACAGATACAATATGCTCCAAGACAAGACAAGTGTGATTTTCACAGGCTGAGCGTACGGTCGGTCTCCGTCCTTCCTTCAAGATGGTCCTGCGCTTCAGTGCTCCTTCCAAGTTGACCAGGCTGCTCGGAGGAGGCAGCGGTGAGTCATCCAAATCCAGGGAGCTGCTGACAAAGGAAAACGATTATAAATGCAGGCAATGTTGACAATGTATAAACCAAACTGTGCCAGAAAGTCACAACATGTTAACCAAAAACACATTGACGACTTGACTTGTTTTTTAGACGCACACACAACACCCAATGCAAATATTAAGATTTTATTGAAACATAAAAAAATGGTTCATCAGTAGTTTGATGGCATTTCAATACAGGTGGAGCAAGGTCAGAAGAGAAATTCATAGACAAATCCACCAAAATAATTGCGACTGTTATTGGAGGAGGCTGCGGTGGTGCAGTGGATACTCCACTGCCCTGCAAGCCTGGTAACCCGGGTTCGTCTCCTGGCCGTGGATAACTTCAGTGGAGAGTGCTATCGCTTGTTGGCCCTCAATCACCAACCTGTACGGTCAAGTATGGTAAAAAAACCAATGACCAATACGGCATAGGTAGACCTTCTCCAGCAGTGGATTGAGGGCTGTCTATTATAATCTGCAGGAATCCATACTCTTTGGTTCTTTCGGTAAAGTCACGTAGGTAGAAAATAAATTAAATCGCGACGTTTCGGGCGCACCACAAGTGGAAACAACCCCAGCAATAAACAAATAGCTGAAATAAGCAGCCTCCTTTTGCCCATTTCAGCAATTTGTTTATTGCTGGGGTTGTTTCCACCTGATGATGGGCACTTGCGTTGCGGCCGAAACCTCGCGATTTATATTATTTTATACCTACGTGACTTGACCGAAAGAACCAAAGACTATGTCTGTCTATTATAATTGTATTTTTATTTATTTTTACCAACAGAAAATTACATGTGAAACTGACAAAATTCACTTCATTGACCGACGTAACGTTGGTTATGTTATCTTAGTGCACAAATAAAGCTGCTGCGCCACTTTCTCTCGGCGCCTACAAAATAAGGGCAAGGTTTTTTTCAACAGAAATGTCTTCTTTGTGCACAACGTCCATGCCATCGACAAAGGAAACGCTTTCGCACATCCATTGGGAAAAAAAATTGGGGGGGGGGGGGAAGGGAGGGGACGGGCGGTGGGGGAGCATAATGAAAATGCCGATGATGCAGCAACAGATAATGCAGCGGCGGCCGTGCGGTTATGCGGTGTACCTGATGAAATGCACTCTGGCACATCTGCTCCTGTGTCCTGCGCTCCATGTCGCATACTTTGTCATTTGCCCCACGTGGGGTGGCAGGGGCAGTGTACTGCGAGGTAAAGAGCACGATCCCGTGGGGTTACGCTCCGTGCAATCACGCGACTTGTTGCTGTTGTTGTTGGCGGCATCGGCGGATGAGACCCCACAAAGATGTTTCAAGAACCGAGTGCCACCCGCCAAAAACATGAAGCACCCAAAAAATATGCACATTGGCACCTGTACTTTGAATTGCCCTCGAAGCGATCGGGCAAATCGAGATTGACAAACTCGTTTCTTTAGAACTGCTTTTTGTGCTGAGTTTGGTGTCCTCCCCCCCCCCCCCGCACCTCCGATTAGCACGGTTGACTATGTACGGTGCAAAAGAAGTTCAACATATATATATACACACACGTACAGGCGGGGTTGCACACCTAGCAAAGGCCTTTATATTTTTGGCGTGTTCCATTTTAACGCAGGGGGTCGTTGAGTGTTAAAACATCTCCAGATGCCATGTGGGACAGCGTATTTGCAAAATGATATCGAAAAACAACGTGAAGACATGTCAAATGCTACCAGGCATGTGTGCGATCGTACCGTGTACGATAGGTGTGTGTGTGCCTTATACATGCATTGTATATAAAAACCCATCTCACAAAAATGTAAATATAATAATGCTACATCCTTGAGTTAAACTATAATTCAATTGTCTTGTATAATTAACATAACCTAAGAATCAACAAAATTAAATTGCAGTTGATATGTCTTGAACTCAGCTACATTTACACATGTTGCTGTATATCCGATTACTGCTGTATATCTGAAGTACAGCACTTTATATGCCACACCCACTAGAACTATACCGTGCGTGAATGTATTCATCATCCCTGCTGAATCTATACACTGTGCAAACACGCCAACTGATTTGATTTATTAGCAAAGTCGGAATGCTGAAAAGCAAGTATAGCAATTGTCAAATATTGGAACAAGCTTCCCCTCCACATTAAGCAAGCACCTTCCCCATCTAGTTTTGGCTCCTCCCTCAAGAAACCATCTCTTCTCCCTGGCCCATCCTTCCCTCCATCCCGAGGTAACCATGTTATTCCCATACCCCATTTCTATTCACCAAATCACGTTCTGCTACCCTAATTGTACCACTCATCACCCTTGGAAAGCACCTCGGATGAAAGAGCTATATAAATATAAGATAAGATTATCTAACCAAAAGGAAACCAATTACAAATCAAATTCTGAAAGGCTATGCTTAAAATTATATACTATCCATTTTTAACCAGTCACATAAAATAATCTGCAAATATCCAAGATTGAATATGTTCGTACGTTTTTCATTCTGAGAACAGAGGAAAAATATTGCGTTAAGCTAACAGCATAAAAGCAAAGCAAACTCAAAAATGGAGAATGTGCAATTGTCTATCGATTAATTTGTAATACGTCTGTGATGGCCTGCAATGCAATGCACGGTCCTGTGACTTGAAGCAGCTTTTACACTTATTGACCGTACCTGTCAAATCCAGCATAGCTGAGCTCCTCACTCAGCTCAGACCCTTCACTACTGCCTAAAAGCACAAGAGTTAAACATTCATTGAATACTCACTCTATTTCACATTGATCATTTGACCAATCCAATATGCATGATGTTTCAAAGTACAGATATTTTGATTCCTGTCACTTGTGCGTGTTTCAAAGCGCGTGCTTTATTGTACAAAACATGCCATTAACAACATTGAAAATCGCAGATGGCGGGCAATGGTCAAAGAGCGACTGCGTGGGGTTTTGGGGGCTCTGCAGTAGCAAATTTAAGTCGGTTCTGCAAAAACCTTCCGGTACGTGGCGTGAAACATCGTACACCGTACCGAATAACACGTGGTACAGTGAAGGACACATGGGGTAAATTCACATCTTGATAAATTGGCCACAATGCATCATCATGTTGCTGGTGATGGAGACATTTGCGATGTTTTGTTTTTGTAGGTAAAGGTTACGTATTCCTAATTGGGAATTGGGCCCATGGGCCGTGTAAAAACACCACAAGATCGCCAACATTTATCAGTGCAAATTAAATACATTATGCATTTTAAACTACAGGTGTCACTGTTCAACCATAATACCAGGGGGCACACGGTTAATGTAACACCAACAAGTGAAGTGTACAAAGCTATTGACAACACTCCGCGCCTTTCATAATCTTCAAACGGTGAGTGTGCCGCAACCTTTTGCTCCCTGTAGGTTTTGTATTTGAGCCCTCTGGGAAATAAACGGCAGCAGTCAGCTCACCGTACACTGTGACACTGGCTGGTGGTGCTCACGATGACACCGACACAGCAGAGCCAAATGTACAACTCAAATACATTGACACACGGGGGCATCTATCCAGAGCTGTAGAAATTTTATTTTAATGCCAGGGAGGCATCTCAAAATGGTGAGGGCAAAGGTGCGGCACCTGCAAGTTGCTTGTTCGTGCCACTGCTGGCAGAAGAGCCTCCACTCGAGCAAGCTCGACAGAGCTTCTTCTTTGGTTCTTTCGGTAAAGCCACGTAGAATGAGAATAAAATAATAAATTAATAAAATAACACAATAAAATTCTCACGACGTTTCGGCCACAATACAAGCGGCCGCTTGTGTTGTGGCCGAAACGTCGTGACTTTACCGAAAGAACCAAAGAAGATGAATCCTTGCAGTCACGAAGGCTTTAAATCGAAATTCGACAGAGCTTCTCAAGAGAATATCTTGGCCTCATGTTGCATGCTGGTCAGACATCACCCACACTCTACCCCAACACACACACGAGCTGCCAATCGACTAACTGTGGAGTACCCATTTATACGGCTCGGTGGACAGAGGTGGGGGTGGGGAGGGAATTTAAGAAACTTGGCCCATTGTTTAAATTGCTGTGCAGGAGAAGAGATCGAACCAGCGACCCCTGGATTGCAAGTCCACAGTGTGCTAACCATTATACCATGGCAGCTCCTAATTTGTGTAATTACCAAATGCAAACGGGGCTTTAGAACAATCCATGAGGCTTAAGAACTTGCCAATTGTTTCAACTGCCACGAACCGGTGACCTCTGGATTTGCAAGTCCAGTTCGCCCTCACCATTACACCCGGACGCACCATACATTCAAAATATCAGAAAGGCCGATTTTATTCCTTTTTGAGCAGGGGTGTGTGTGTGTGTGTGGGGGGGGGGGTGCAATTGTGGGGGGGGGGGGGGGGGAGTGCAAGGCCGTGTTTACCGATGGAGAGACCACTGGAGAGGAACGAGGCGTCGGTAGCCGTGCGCAGGGGGCTGCTGCTCTCGATGACGCTGTCGTCCAGCAGGTGGCGCGGCCGCACGGCTGGCAGGGTCATGCTCTTGGACTCCGTGCCTGACTGCGGGCCCACGAAACTGGCCGTGGCACAAAAAAAAAACGGGACCGAGCGCCGCCACCCCCCCCCCACCCCGTCGTCGGGAGTTAGACGTGCGGAAAATTCGCCTCGTTGTTGTGCGCGTTGTACGCCGAGCTTCTTCCGCGCCGCATGTAGCCAACCGCGCTGATCTGAAGTGACTGATATTCAATCACACGAACCGTTTTAAAAGTTCGACGGAGCCGTTATGGTATTGGCTAATTCGCTCGAGCCGACGAGCTTGATTTTGTGTCTGGGTCTGGGGGTCTGTAACACGAGACGCTGCGTGGAAAAAAGTACGACACAAATAATTTAAGGACTCGCTCGTTTATCTCGAATGACGCTGTAATTAAAATTTCTCTAATCGCTCATTAGGGGTTAGCAGTGGGAGCAGAAAGATATCCGGTACTTGAATAGCTTCTCCATGAATTTATAGTTGATCTAATTTTAACGAACGAACACACATAAGCTACAATTAATTTAAATAAATAAAACATATTAATGGCATCCAATATTCACGCACTATCACATTTAAACTCAGTTGCAAAAATAAAACGCTCACCAAAAAAATGTGCTACGGATCTTAAAGGCACAGATGCATTTAGGAATAAATTGTATTTCTATGAAGCCACCAAGGCTACCAGATTCACTCTTTCCTCGACACCGCGGCTTATTGCATTTTGTCTCGCTCGAGTCTTATTATGAATCACAGATGTTCCCGTCTATTCCTTGGCACTTGCAACGGCGGACGCAGAGAGATATATGACGCATGCGGTGGACGGGTGTCTTTAATTGCGGTTGGAAGCAGAAGTTGCAGCCACTCCGTGGAGGTTGGGGCGAGTCTCACTCGCAAATGCTTCCCAGTGGTTATTTGTGAGATTACAAATGGGATTCACGAAGTTGGCTCCCCCCCCCCCACTTAATTATGGAGTTCTACCCGACTATAATTATAGTAATTAGTAATAGTAATTATAGTAAATTTACGCAACCACTGACTACTGACTCAGTACTGCGGCAACCGTCCATGCGCTGCTCTGCTTTGAAAGGTTCCATCATCGGCATGAATCAGCATTTGCATCACCATGTTGAAGGGAGAAAAATAGAGGCTTATAAATACCAGGATTTTTTTCCCCGAAATATTGCGGGTGTCTCTCAGCCGCATCTAAACATGCTGGGGGTGTCCGAATACTCACAACGCCCACAAAAAAACCAGGCCAAATCATGGGGACGAAAATAATCTCACAATACTGGAATAGAGAAGAACTACACGTGATTGCATTTGTCTTGAGTGATGAATTATCATCCAAACGACATAAACGGCCACTTATGATGTCCCAGGAAGATTGACTGATTTCACAGGTCAGGCAAGCTTAAGCAGAGGACAATTCCTGGTGAAAACCAGAACAGACAGGCGATGGGCAAAACCGAGTCACCACCCCACCCCCCGCCGCCCCGATTGGCTTCACCGCCTACCGACCTAGGTGAAGAAAACAACAACCTGGGACCTCCCCGAGCCGCACACGGCCTCGATTGCATCGTTGGAACGCGGGTGTACGGTGATACAATGGGACTGGGGCGCCTTAAACTAACGGTTGAAAGCCGCCAAAGCCCTCCTCGTGCGCTGGCCCAACCTGCTGCCCAGGCTGCGGCTCTTGCGGTGGCAGCACGGCGGGGTGTGGCGCGCGAGGGGTGGCGTGGCTCCCGGACTGTGGAAGGAGAGCGCCTCGGGGGCCGTGGGTCTCCTGCCGACGCGCGGGGATGACGACAAGTCGGAGGGCCCTGGACGGCGGCCAATGGAAAACGGACACGCGCGCAGAAAGAAAAAAACGGAGAAATTCTGCGTTACTGTCGGCTCCATTGAGAGGAAAAAACATTCCCTCTTGCCCAAAGCGAGCGCCGCCTCTGTGGCTTCATTCACGTTGGCGGTCCCAAGTCGGCGGTGGAAACTCCACATTCCTTTGGCGGAGCCCGGTCTGTCCGGTGGACAAATAAGGGCTGGGTCCCTTACTGAGCGGTGAAGCCTCATAACGTGCAGCTCAAACTGCCCATTTGACTGACTCTGCAGCGAGGAAGGGGACAAGCTGACCCTGGCCGGATTTGAACTCGTGTACTCTTGCAGACAGTTTATGCACTGACGGAGACTCAAGGACATTTCCACAGCGCGAATGTGGCGAATAACTTTACACAATGGAACATCGAGCTCAACTGCACTTATTCCTTTGAAACATCGCTAATATTCCCTCTGCATCTCCAGAAGCTCCTAAACTGCATTTCAAAACATATCATACTCTAACACATTGCTCTTTTTCCATATGACAACACAAGTTGACAGGGAGCCTGCTGCCCTATCAACTGAGCTACATAGGCATTGACGCAAAAAACTTAGCAAGGTCACAGTTATCTAAAAAAATGTTTCAATGCAAGTACAAGTACATGTGAATTAAAGTTTCGTATTTTTATCCTAGAGGGGGAGTGATGTTGCAGTTCTTATCACACTAAATTATGAACCCGGTTAGCCGAGTCCAATTCACAACTCGGGCTGACATCAGCTGCGAGTGATATTTGAACCAGTCCTGGGCTCCCCCCTTTCACCAACTCACGCTGACCAGCATTGTGAAGTCTGGTCAAACAACTGACACTACGAGGCCAGACCGTCATCCGATCAGCAGAATGACAAAGGGCCTCAAGCTATCATTATTATTATTTAATTTCCATCTTACATATCTGTGCGTCATTACACTTGACTGCAAAATTACCTTGACCCATTTTGCAGACAGTGCAACACGTGTGTAAATAAATCAAGAGCCCTGTTTTCATTAAGGAACAGAGGCTAGACAAGCTTTGCCACAACACGCATCAGGTATACCTACTACTAGTCACCCAGCAATCTGTCTGTCCTGAACGCTGGAGACGTCACTCCACATCGAACAGCCCCCCTCATTAATATTCATGAGCAGGTGACGTCATCCAACTTGGCACCCCCCCCCACCCCTCCTCATTAATAATCATGAGCGGGTCACGTCACTCAATATGGAATATTCCCCCATCCCCTCACTAATAAGCATGCGCAAGTGACGTCACTCCACATTGAACAGCCCCCCTCAATAATAATCATGAAGAGGTGACCGTCCTCCAAATGGACACCCCCACCATTAATAACAATTAGCGGGTGACGTCACTCCACTGGGGGGGGGGTGAGGCGCCTCCTCCCCCCTCCTCGGCGTCAACTGACAACCCTCACTACAAAGGCAGAACCCTCACGTCATCACGTGATCTCACCCTCACTACAAAGGCAGAACCCTCACGTCACGTGACCTCCGTGACGCTGTTGTTGAGACATCAAAGTAAAAAGGACGTCGTGATGCACAAGGGATTATAACCTTTACATGAAATAGGTCTGTGTCACCGCGGCCTTACAAATTGCACACGCATTGATGCAATGAATATGTCACGTCGCGGGCTGATTTTCGCTTGCAAGTTTCAGATTTACTGCAATACACCCGGTCCCTGGACGGGCAAAAGGCTAGTTTTAAACAACTTAACACATTTATCAACGTTTTTTTTTCCGTTTCATTTTAGGCCAGTGTGATTGACGAACGTTATTTGTGCTTGTGCGCCCGCTGCAAATGCAGTATCGCCAAAGCATAGGCACTGCAAACAGGTCAATTGTGAAAATGTGCACACAGCTACCCAGTTGGAAGCTGCAGAACACGGTAAAGGAAGGTTCACCGTTAGCATTAACTATGATGCTCTATCCATCACAGTTGTTGAGCACAAGTTCAGAGACCCAAAATGCCAAGAGGTCAGTCACAAAGGGCACTATCGCATTTGTAATCGACAACTGTGAAAATGTTTCTTGAATTGAGCACCTCCAATTAGCACGGTTGGCTACGTACGGTGCGAAAGAAGTTCAAAATACGTGCATACGTAACTAGGTAAAAGAGACGAAAGACAAGTGTTGTGACCTGAAATATGGAGGTTAAATACAGGATGGAAATGAGAAAACAGCCAGTCTGGTAGACAGTCATCAACATGGGTTGAGGGAATCAAAGGGTGAAGTTCATGGGAAGATACTCTTTGGTTCTTTTGGGAAAGTCAAGTAGGTATAAAATAAAATAAATCACGACGTTTCGGAAGCAACACAAGGTGGGACAGCCACAGCAAGAAACAAATTGCTGTAATGGGCAAAAGAGCTGCTTGTGACAAGAGGCTGTATAAGGCAAGAGAGGGGGGAGGAGCAAGGGGGGGAGAGCTAGAGAGGGGGGAGGAGCAAGGGGGGGAGAGATAGAGAGGGGGGAGGAGCAAGGGGGGGAGAGATAGAGAGGGGGGAGGAGCAAGGGGGGGAGAGATAGAGAGGGGGGAGGATCCAGGGAGGAGAGATAGAGAGGGGGGAGGAGCAAGGGGGGGAGAGATAGAGAGGGGGGAGGAGCCAGGGGGGAGAGATAGAGAGGGGGAGGAGCCAGGGAGGAGAGATAGAGAGGGTGGCTGTCCCACCTGATGACGGACGCTTGTGTTGCTTCCGAAACGTCGTGATTGAATTTATTTTATTTTATACCTACTACGTGACTTTGCCGAAAGAACCAAAGAGTACGGATCCCTGCAGTCACGAAACACTTCAGATCTAGATTGATTCATGGGAAGAGTAACCATGATATTACCTGTAAGGTCCTCCTTCGACATGGCTAGCTGCGGCGTGCTACTCGCAGGCTCTATTCTGAGCGATTGCCTGGAAATACAACGCAGCACGGAACATTGGCATGGCAAGCACACTCACAGAAGCCGCAAATTCACACTGGACGTGTGCACATCTTGAGTTCACACGACGAGGCCGCCAAGCGATCGACCTTTTAAATCACACTTTGACCTCTCCACCAGCAATATTAAGTAAAGTGCTTGAGAAAGCAAAAGAGAAAGAAAAAAAACCCCACACGTTTCCCAGTCGCATTGGGAATATCACAATCCATCCCTTTCAATCAAATGGCACCTGAAAGCTACAACTATAAACAAAGGATACACACTCCCCCCCCCCACCGCCCTTAGGGACCGATCACGTGTCGAGAGGTGCAGCACTCATCAGCCACACTGAATGTGAACGGTTTCTCTTAGAGCCTACGTGTGTCACTAATCATGGTTGTTTGTTGTAGCACAGAGTTAGCCTGATAATTGAATCTAAATTGTCTTATGGTTGTTATTTTTTGACTTGCATCCCACTGGGATTTTTGCACACAGCGTTGAAATACGGTGGGTTTTTTTTGGAAGACTTTTGCTGGTTTTTCCTGGATTTTTCTGTTGCGGGTAGTCACTTTTAAAATGTTTCTTGTTCATGTTTTTGTTTGTTGCGGTTGCACCCGAGTCAAGAGCCGCATGGCTCACAGGGTTATACCTAATAAATGAAACTGAAACTCTCTGCTCTCTGAACATTCAGACAGGAGGACACGCAGCCCATGCGGAATGACAGGCAAATGGTTTCCCATATGCAGAGAGTTCTGCCGACAGTTCTGCTGCTCAGAGAGTTTAAGAGATTACCCCGCTTTACCTCCGGGGACCAGAGGCACATTGAATTACATCATTGTGCGATCCATCATTTCCAAGCACATTCAGGTCAACCTCTCATGCCTGGTCTGCTTTAACTCTTTAAATCTTCAGAAAGCGGTCAGTGAGATTGCGATGATGGGTTTTCAAATTAGAGGCCGTGTGTGTTGAGGATTTCCTACTTTCCTCTGGTGACCGAATGAGAACTCATTAGTGTGCGCTTATTAAGAAACGGTGACAGTATTAAGTAGCTCCTTGGAGGAAGCTACATGTGGAGTTACCGCTATTGCTGTTCCTGCTGATATACGCCAGATACTATGCACTCACCACATTCGTCCAAAATGTTTCAATCAATGGCCCTTCTTCAAATGATGTGCTATGAGGATGCGACATTGGCCAAAATGTCACCTATGTTTCCTTTTTAGGCAGCGTTATTGATTAAACAGTTTAGTTTATTTGTTATGTGTGCTTACGCAGGACTGCCAACGCATTATCATTTGATAATTTGCTTACATCAGATACTGCATGCCTGCATAGACGTAAAACTGATGGCCATGACACTGAATTCCCTTGATTGATGTTTCTGGAGGAAGCATGGAAGCCATCTTTTTGGCCGATGTTGTTTTACTCAATGAATCAAAGTTGATTTAAGTAGCATTTGCTCTGGAATCTGTCACCTGGATTTGAAACTGCACAGTACACACTCATGTCCCTTAATCTGAAGGGCAGTATGATGTTTGAAAAATATATGAAAATACTGCAAACAACTCTTGTTTTTTTTCTTCAAATCTAATAACCTCCATCAACAAACTTTTCTTACACCACAAGTATTTACATGTTTTTGCATCTCATTTTATAATACATTTAACTGCCCTTTTTGGCAGCATTAGATTAGTGTATGTAGAGTGTCTCTCTGGATAAGACAAGTCATCTCGGCAATTTTGCATGTATACGTGGTTGTTATGGATATACAGGTGATGCAATACAGGTACAGACAATAGTATATGTTTAAACTGTCAGAAAGCAGCTGCTGTTTCATTTGACTCAACTGGGCACAGAAAGCACAGATGCCATGCAAAAGCAGACTCAAGCTGAAGTTCAATAGTGTAACTTTTCTGAAATATTCTTGCAAACGATGCTTTTTTTTGTATTCAGTTCAAACAATGGGGCAATACAACACTCAACTTTATTCAAAATCATTTTGTTTACATGTCGCACATGTAAAAGCACGATAATTGGACATATAGGGTCACATGGATCATCAAGCAAAACATTCAACATCATGCGCTTATTGATACTTTTAAACCGAGGTTCAAAGCACTGATGTGTTACCGCTGCCCATTAGTCCGTCTATCCATCTGCCTGTAACATTGTGTCACTATAACGCTCAATCAAGGTAATCAATATAAATAACAATTCAGTTTCAAGTTGAGTTTCTATTAGGGGCTTAAACTACAGAAAAAAAACTGGTGAAAGGATTACCCAACATATTCTTTTAGTTCGTCTATCCATCTGCCTGTAACATTGTGTCACTATAACGCTCAATCAAGGTAATCAATATAAATAACAATTCAGTTTCAAGTTGAGTTTCCATTAGGGGCGTAAACTACAGAAAAAAAAAACTGGTGAAAGGATTATCCAACATTTTCCTAGCTCTTTCGGTAAAGTCACGTTGAAGGGAAACAATAAAATAATAAAATATATATAAAACAATAAAAATTATCACGACGTTTCGACCATAACACAAACGGTCATCATCAGGTGTGAAAACCAACGGCAAGAAACATTTGAAAGAAGTGGCGGTTTGTATTTTTTTAATTACAAACACCGTTTTAAAAATAAATAAATAAATACGGACCGCCACTTCTTTCAAATGTTTCTTGCCATTGGTTTTCACACCTGATGATGACCGTTTGTGTTATGGTCGAAACGTCGTGATAATTTTTATAGTTTTATATATATTTTATTATTTTATTGTTTCCCTTCAACGTGACTTTACCGAAAGAGCTAAGAATATGAATTACTGCAGTCACGAAAGCTTTAAATCAAGATTACCCAACACTTCGTGATACAAAAAATAACCCAGCGATAACGGCTTAGTCCAATTCAGGCAATGTGATGACGTTGTAAGTCACGAGCAGGTTCACTTCCCCATGATGTCCTTATGCGCAATATTATCTCATGACATGTCACTCACCCTGTGACGTAATTTCACTTTTGCACGAGATGATGGCATAGATAACTTTTAATAAAAACTGGATTAATCTGTCCTCATGGCATTATGCCATGGGTCGTCTTGATTATAAATTGCATATTCTTATTTTCTTCTGATTTATTTGTTTACAAATGTCCTTGTTTTACTTGTGCCTTCATTGGCTGCATTTAATTTCATAGATCCCTGCTGGGTCCGAGTGAGCGCTAGGCAAGAGGGGAGGGTGAGGTTTTGGCCTCAGTCTTTTGTGTATGAATGAATGGAGACAAAATAACAATTTTTGACAATGGCTCGCTCAATAACGAACAACTGTGTTAGAAGGCAGAAGCAAAAAGAGTCACACAATGTGACACGAAATGTCACGCAACAAAAGTTCCACGCAAGAAAGCTGCTTCATTTAACTTGAGCTGATTATTTCCTCAAAGCGGATTGTGAATTCTGAGACCAGCACTTACTTGTAGTTGTCATCTTCTACAAACTTCTGCAGTTCCTCAATGTACTGCACAGACTGAAGGTACTTTTGGACATGGAGTAGCATTGGTAGGAAATCTGCACAGACACGCATAAATATAATATCACCATCACACTTCCACTGTTTGCCTCACAAAAGTATAATCGTGCTTGGTGGTGCATATCTCTGTTGGCAGTCCGGAGATAATCGTGAACATTCTATGGTGATGCGCGGTCTATCCAAAGCAAATGAAATACAAATGTATCTAAGAATCCGTTTCAACAAATGAGCATTGTGTATGAAAGGCGTGACTTTAATTTGAGTAGGCATAAGGTATATGCTAAATAAGTTAGATTTTCCAAAGCATTTTTCCTGTAGGAAGGCGTTTTGTGCCATCGTAAAGAATGCACAATATCATAAGGCTGGAATTCTATAAATGTCGTCTCTCAACCTAATGGAACACTTGGAGAATGGTAATTTTGTATTCGTCTAAACTGAGAAAGAATTGTTTGGAATTTCAGTGGCCATGCTACACACTGACCCTAAAGCATAGTCTGTATAAACTTCACCATCAGTTAAAGCAAGTAAAAGTGCATCCTTTCAAAGTTATTAATTTGTTTGGACAGCTGCAGAAAGTTTACAAAAACAAACTTCAAAAGGAAAACAGCGGCTTACTACACAGCAATTTTTATAGTTAAATAACACTTTAAATTGTTTAATTGTTGTAAAATTTTAACTGTTTAGGTAGAACACACAAAGTGTACAGTTTGTTAAGAGTGAATCACGGTTTGATGGCCTTGGTCTTGAACTTTTATACGAATTCCAGTCTTACTGCTCTTTGGCATTTCATTCAAAACCATGAGAACTTGATCGAGACAAACTGCATCGTGGGTTCACAGCACTGCAAGTCTACGTGGACCAATCATAACTCAATAATACTGTTGTAAGCAACTAAAATATTCCGCATTTAACAATATACATTTCCAATAGTGCCAACGAGTGGTCTGGATAAAACTTCAAACCGTTGTTCTGGACATGAAGAAAAATAGCCTATTATTTCAGATGAAAACAGGTTCCAAGAAAAGCAACAGGATTGTAATTGTAAATTATGATTTTACATTCAACTATAATCCAATAATAAATGGCACCCACCTAATATGATCAGCGCAACACGACACGCAAGTCTCCCTTAAATAGCATTAACGTCCCCCGTGCTATTTGGCACATTGGATAATGAGTGCAAATATCGGAATGAGTAAGTGTGCGTTACATAAAACCATATAATTAGTATTCCCTCTGTCTGCTTTATTCGTTGCATTAAAAAAAAAATTAAGGCTGGGAGAGTTTGTGGAAATGTATTCGTCCACAGAGCCAGCAGCAAGTGCAGAAGTCTTTGCAAAAGGGGCACGCATTTGCTTTGAGTGGTTTCGATCAGCCGAGCATTCCAATCCACATGGCATCATTCAAATGCTAGTCTTGCTGTCAAGCACACTGCTGGCTGAGTAAAACTAATTCAATACGACAGTCACATGCAACCAAATGTTTTACATTGCCCGATAAAAACCTGTGCACTGTAGAGTGAACAGGATAACACAAGGGCAACACGGGTTTTGTATTTTGGTAGTCTGAACCAAAAAAATAAACCTCGCTTGTCCCACCAACTACTGCACTCCAGAGTTCAGCACTGAGATGGCACAAATGAAACGCTGGGGGTTTGCTATCAGGCAGCCACCCAATTAAACCGGGTTCTCAAGTGTAGTCAGTTGATGGTCACCTGTGACCTAAAATAACCCTGTCACATTACATTTGGTTGTGCACACACTTAGGTCAACATCCACCTCTGACGACTTCAAAATATCAGTTCCAATATTCATATGACGAGCGTCACTCTGCGTTGCATTGGCGGGAGGAAGAGTGGTGCCCCCTACTGTGTGGACCGGAGGTCACTTGAAGGGACAGAGGCAGTCCGCTTGCATGGGCCATCCTCCAGCACAAAGGATGGCGCTGCTCTGCGAGAAATCCATACGGATCCTTCGTCTCATGGCAGAGCTCCCAAGAGTACAATCGAGTGCAAAATACAGGGCGCTTCAAAAAAATGTTAACACTTACATGTGGCTATCGTTTTTAATGGAAAAAGACTGTAACGTGATAGCGAATGTAATGTTTATCTCTTCAAAAAGTCAAAGGGTCTCCCACTTGTTCGCCATCGTTGTCAACACGTGGCCTGGAATCTTCTCCAGGTGGTCCCCAGATCCCTGGAGGCAGCAGCACATTTCTTGTGGTGCTGTTGTAAATTCTCGGGAGTGTTAAAACTTTTTTGAAGCACCATGTATACACGTAAAACCAAACTACTGAACTCAGTGGTGAGTTCTTCACGTCCTTGTAGGACCACGGATGTAATGGAAAGCCCTTGGCAGCTCAGCTGAGCTGAGTTGAGACCTCACCATATTGACAGAACTGTTGGAAGTCGGAGATGACCCTGAGGATGTTGTTCATGTGCAGAGACCTCTTTTCGCTCTCCAGGATGCTGCCAGATGCCGGATGGGCAGAGTCAATGTACACGACGTCAGACAGGTATATGCCTGCAAGGAACAGAGAGAAATAGACATTTGTTTAAATTCGCAGTAAGTTGCCAAGGGGTGGTGTAGCGGTTTCGCAGTCATGAGCGCACACTCCGCTATAAACTCAGTGTCGTGAGGTCGATTCCCTTCCATTGCAGGGATCAGTGGTGAACCCTGAATCAGTCTTAGATCCCCCCCTCCCTTCACTAACTGACACTGACCAGCATGGTAAAGCATGGTCAAACAACACCCATGACAACTTGTGATATGGGGATGTCTTCGTCCAGTTGTTGATTGACAAAAGGGGTACAAACAAAAATGTTGCTATTAACCCCAAAAGTTCTGATACCCACGTACAATAGACAACGTGGCTGTACATGAATATAGCGGTGTCACTCTTTGCCAATGCACCGCCACACTCATTCACCTCCGACTGGATATCGGTTTAAATTTAGTGTCGTAGCTCATAGGATTCCTTCAGTCGAAATATATATTCTGATTCTGATTCTCCATTTGTAAAATGAAGGCAAAGGAGCGGTTAGCCAAAGTTATTCTTCGTGAAACAATGCTCACAAATTTAATGATTTAGTACATTACCATATGTGACTACAAAAGTCTCACATTAAAATTATTAATTGATGGTTTCTATTATTTGATTGTGTAACATTAGGTATCAAAGTGGTCCGGGAAAATTATCTCAATTATGATAATTGTGTGCAATTCATTTAGTACCTAATTAATTTTTTATACGGATTATGCACATTCCTAAGTTCTAAGTGTTGTTTATGAAATATCTGGTCGCAAAAGTGGGTTTTTATTCATAGAGAAAAAAATAAGAATTTGACATGCTGCATAAACTTCATTAAAGCACTATTTTGGCAATGAGCCTTAGTGTTGAGACAAAATGTGCTCCTTGATGGAAAAAAAAAACTTAAACCACATAAAAAATGCTTTCCAGTTCATAATTTGAATCATATTTACTCGAATTACTTCATCAAAATAATAATCACCAGTACGTTGAAAACCAAACATGTGCAAGTTATTAAAAGCAAGACCTAAAATGAAACGGAGTCCAAATGAATCCCACTTGCATCAGTCCAAAGCACTGTACAAATAAAAAAAAACCTCCCAGAGTCAAATGCACTGAAGTTCAGCATTTGGTTTATGCGGAATATTGATGCTGCAACAAATCTACTTGGATCGTGATCTGTTTTGCCATTTACTTTGCGTAACATGACTGTATCACACAGCCTAACAGCATGCCTGATGGTGCTAGATTGCCAAACTTGTAAACACTTTTTTTTTACTAAAATAATGAAAGATACCACATCAACCAATGCAGGAGAACTGTGTATGATGGAGGGCACATGCCCTAGATAATTCAGTGATATATTCTGGCAGGTTTGGATAAACTATTTGATTTACAAGCAAGCACAAAGAATGTGTTTTCAAGGCTTGAGGCGTTAAAAGGCACAATTGCCAAGTGGCTCCAAATTACTTTGCCTTGGATGATGATGAGTACAAAAGGAAGCTTTATTTATTCACGGTTGTTTATGCAAGTGCACTAGCTTGACAACTATAAATCTAGTAGTACTAGCAACATAACAAAAAGCCTCCCAACAGGCGAGGAGAGATTGAGGCTTTCTACAATTCCCAAGCCCATGGCCACGTGATGAAATAAGTCAGTCGCCACTCGGTGCCAATCGGTGGATGAAAAAAGGCAGGGACCCAGTTTTCCATGGGTTCCATTTGTTTATTCAACACGTAGGCTTTCGCGGCCAATTTTATTCATAACAGAAGGGGTTTTTTTTGGGGTTAGAATGCGTAAATATATCTCTTGTGGCTCCAAATTGCTAGGAAGATTTGCCCACAATTCTGGCACTCGCTTGATGACTCCGGTTGTAATTACCGGCGAAAATGTTGTACTCAAATTGTAAATGTTGTATGTTTACTCTCCAACACACCGCTGTGCTGAACTAGAAACAAATTGGCATGCTTTGTTTACGTGACACACCTTGCCAATTGGCTGTGTCGGGTGGTGGCGAGCTTAACGACGCATTTATATTTTTATGCGAGCTAATAAAAAAAATCTATCACGGATCCATTTATATATGTGGGTCAGCTCACACTGGTGGCTCGGAAGGGCACATCTCTCCGGAAGTGAGGTCAAGTGTCTCAGAAACAATATGAACTCTCCAGGCCCTACGAGCACTCTCCCGCTAGAGAAGAAGACATCACGTGCAGGACTATCCTTGCCTCAGCGTGCCACCGATCACTGCAATTTCATCAGATGTTTCCCAGTACGTATGCATAAAATATTTCTGCTATTCATTCTAAGTATGATTTTCATTTAGGTCAGTTGTGGCCATAAAAAAAGGCTTTGCAGCTCTGACTCATTGCTTACAAAGTCGTGGTCAAAAGGCCATCACTGCCAACGGCGTTGATACCACTCTAGTTTGCCATCACTTCCTTCCTTACCCTAAGATCCCATAGAGTTGTTGTAAAGTGTACACGTCCAAGTTCCGCTATTAAATTAGTACCGCACCAACTGCCTTTATAGTTCATCCCCATGGTTAGTGACCTCTGGGTGCAACTCCAATGGCTGTCTCAGCAGCGTGCTCTCTTCCATTCTGCACACGTGTTCCACCCATCACAAACTCCTTTTCTAGTAATAGGTTTTACCCTTTTAACTGGCACAAAAACTGACACCTTTATTCAAGGCATCATGTTTGCAATAACCACAACACAAGCAGTCAAAATGCAAACAAAATTGACAACTCTGATAATAATATGCACTGTCCTTGAATTTGATTGGTCCACACCCGAGACGGCTTTTCTTAGAGCCTAGTCTCCACTGGTGTTGGACCAGAAGACGCCAAAAGGCGTACAACTCAAAAACAGCGCACTATCAGAGTATTGAGGGCTCGGGGTGAGCATTTACATTATGAGACCTCCTTTGCCAGTAACAAGATATAGTAATAGGTTTTACCCTTTTTAAAAGACCATCTGCCTCTTTCGTTACCTTTTTCAGACCCAAGTCTCTTAGCCATATCGTAACACGCCTCCTTATCACTCTTATATCGCTACTACAATGGTTGCTCTTCATGTGAACATCACTCATTGTTTCCTCCAACCATGTCGTGGACTGTTTCATCTCATCCGTACCATGTTCAACCACCACACCGCAGGTCACAACCACTTCTCTTTCTGCTTCTTCTCTCGCACTTCTGTTTGCAAAAATCTTACCACTTCTTTTTGAGCAAAAAAGAAGTGGTAAGATTTAACACCGTGCTAAATTTAAGAAACAATAACTATTTTGGTTCGGTGCTCAGCAAATGTTTTCACAAACAAACAAAACTCCACCCAAACATTAATGTTGCTGCAAAACTAAAGTTTATCTTTCTTCTTTCAAAGCAGATCAGCAAGAATGAGCAATTCTGATGCAATATCTCGAGCCCTTATTTCCTATACTGCATTATGCACATTACCGTTACACAAGGGTGATTAAACTTATATATCACAACCAGGTGATTCTATGAAAGCCCCAAGAAATATACCAGATGCTCTGCACAGCGTCTTGAGATACCTTTTGCATTAAATGATACATCAATGCAAGTTATTTATTACATATGCGTATTGTATTAGTGGCAGTAATTTCAAACTGAGCACATTTAATGGCCTCATTATTTTCCCACTGGTAAGAGAAAATTTTCATGGTCATCACGTACTTTGCATTGTTGTCAAATTACAATATATATACACACACACAAGAGTCCTTCTCCATAATATAGGTTGTTGTTGGTTAGATCCCGTAAATATAAATGTGTCGTTAAACCAGGTGGAATTCTCCACAAATCTGGCTGTCGCCTGATGAAGCTAGTTAAAATTACTGGCGAAACATCGTACTCAGATTGTAAATGTTGTGAATTTGCTCTCCAACACACCGGTGTTGCTGTATTAGTAAGGAATTGGCATGTTCTGTTGACGTGACAAACCTTTCTAGTTGGCTGTGTTGGGTGGTGGCGGGTTTGACGACACATTTATATTTACACCATCTAAACCAAAAAAAACCTATATTATGGATGTTATTGGTCGCGAAAGCCTATGTGTTAAAGAGTCTTTCTGTTAAAAGTCTAACGAAGATCTTTCCATTGTCTGGATGTGTCTCAGAGCATATTATGAAAGACGTGATAAATAGTAAAGTAAATTTGAATGGATAAGACACTGATTCTGACCACTCGCTAATTTTAATTAACTGTCGATCCAGGCTGCTCATCTTCATTTCCATTCTGTGTGATACTTTAAAAACTGTCAATTATTTTTTTCGGTTTCCAATTGCCCAAACTCAAAACGATTTTTACCCAACCAATCGAAAAAATATTATTAGTACAGACGAGTTAAGGTTTATGTACTTGTGGTCAGAATTTGTATTCCTTTCCACAAACTTCAAACTGGTCTATTGAGCCTATGTTATTTGCAATGAGCCGTGGATGCAATTTAGCGGCACGCATTTTTGGTGCGGACGTTAGACGAGAAAATATCGAAACATTGTGTTCTCAGAAGAAAACATTGGAGCATATAAGGCCACGTCAGCCACAGGCAGAGCTTAATTTGAAAGGAAAGTGACAGCCATGCGAAGCATTTGAAAGGACACAGTGGTGGCGAGGCACCATTAAATAACGCGGTGTGACCAATTGTGGGTCGGTGGGCGGGCGTCAATCAAAGGTGTAGGGATCTCGCTGTGCTGAGTGCAGGGGGCCGGGGGGGGGGGGAATATATGATGGCTGTGTCAGTCAGACATTGAGAGACTTTGAAATCCTACTGGCCTCTTTCTTTCCTCGAGCCCTGTTCGGAGCGGCACAGGAAATAGCTGATCCGTTACCGAGCCACACTGCCGTCTGGTGTCTGCCACGCAGGAAGTTTTCTTTTTTGGCTTGCAAGCGCCCAAAACGCAGACCAGAGGCAGACCGCACTGGGTGCTACTTTGCAAGGCTGGCCATAAACGTTTGATTCATATTAAA